CAGGGTGGATTTGGGTACCGTGGGGTAGGGGAGGGTGGGTTTGGGTACCGTGGGGGTGGGGGAGGGCAAGCGCCTGGCTCGGGTGGTGGTGGACCGACGGGAGCGCGTCCTTGCGCACGTGCTTACGGAAGCGCGCGAGCGCCGCCTTGGCCGCCTCTGACTTGAGGAGCTCCGCGCCCGCGTACCTGCACGGTCAATACACCGACGTGAACACGAACATGAGGGGGACATGAACATGAGGGGGGGGAGATGGTGGTGTGTGCAGTGTGCTCTAGAGCACCGCGTGAATGCGAGGGGCTGCGAATACAATGAACCCGGCGGACTACGGCGGAGTGCGCGTCCTCTCGAGTGCTACTAAGGAGACAAGGAACACGCCGTCCGCTTCTAGGCGGCGCGTACTCCCACGTGTTGCTCTCCGGCGGGCAGTGCTAGGGGAGGGTGGGTTCGGGTACCGTGTGGGGTAGGGGAGGGTGGCTTCTAGGCGGCGCGTACTCCCACGTGTTGCTCTCCGGCGGGCAGTGCTTCCATTTGATCAGGTACTGCACCTCGCCCGTCTCGCCTTCATCGGGAGGAGGGAGTGGCGGTGAGGGAGTGGGTGGGGAGTGAGCGGGAGCAGGCGGGAGCAGCCGCGGCGTGGCACGGGAGGCTGCTGCGAGTGACGCGCGCGACGCTGCTCCGCTAGATCTCGGCTCGATCTCGCCGAGCCGCTGCTCCATGATCCGCTCCGGCTCATAGCAGAGCTGCAGCCGCGCGTCGTCCCCCTCGGCCATGTTGAGCGCCAAGTCGCCAACCTTGATGGCAGAGCCGCCCTCGATGCCCGCCGCGTTGACCTGCACCTGGAGGGCGTGCGAGGAGGCGAGCGAGGTGACGAAAAGAAGCGGGGCGGCGGTACACACACCACGTTGCAAAGTAGGCGTGTGGTCGTGTGGGCTGTACGGAGGCGTGCGGTGAGGCGTGGGCTACTGGAAGGCGCAGACTAGATGGAAGGCCGCCTTCTTGCGGTGCGACTTGGACGACTTGTGCGACGAGCGGACGGCCGAAGTGTGCACCTGCTCGAGATACGGGGAGGTATGGGGAGGTATGGGGAGGTATGGGGAGGTATGGGGAGGGATGGGGAGGTGTGGGGAGGGATGGGGAGGGATGGGGAGGTATGGGGAGGGATGGGGAGGGATGGGGAGGGATGGGGAGGTATGGGAGACGGCCGAGGTGTGCACCTCAGGCCACTCGGCGACCAGCCGCTTGGAGAGGCCCTTGGAGGCGGGGTCCTTCTTCAGGTCGGAGAGCTTGAGCGCCATCATGTACGAGATGTCGCCTAGAGGGTTCCGAGAAGGTTCCGAGCAGGTTCCGAGAAGCTTGAGCGCCATCATGTACGAGATGTCGCCAAACTGCTCCAGCTGCGACTCGTCCGCCGACGCCCAGTGCCGGTACCCCTGCAGCGGCAGCGCGTCGAGCGGCGTGCCCTCGGACGCGTACCGCGCGACGGCGCCGACGCGCACGAAGCCCATCTCCTCGTAAAAGGAGACGGACGCCATCGTCGCCTGCAGCACCACAAAGTCGAAGCGGCCCGACGCGGCCAGCTCCTCGAGGGCAAGGCGAACCAGCACCTGCAGTGCGATATGTGGGGAGATGTGGGGAGATGTGGGGAGATGTGGGGAGATCTGGGGAGGCGCACCAACCTGCAGTGCGAGTACCGTCCACGGTGCGAGCGCAAGCACCGTGTCGCAAGGGGGCAGGGGGCTGAGGAGGCAGCGGCTAGGGCGTGGGGCTCCCCGCATCTCCCCATATCTCCCCGCATCTCCCCCCATATCTCGAGGCCGGCACCTTGCCGCACCCGAGCCCCGCGAGCAGCCCGATCTCGACCACCCGCGGCCAGATGACGCCCGTGGTGGTGGGGTCGCCGTACCGCTCCTGCGTCTGCAGCTCGCGCGCGAGCGACCCGTCCACGTCGAGCTGCCGCGAGCTCGCGCCTAGACGGAAGGCTCGGAGAAGGCTCCGAGAAGGCTCCGAGAAGGGGCTCCTCTGGCCGGGCCAGCCGGCGGGCGGGCTCTCGCGCGCGCCCGTCGGCAAAAAGACGTCGGGCTCGGCGGAGCGGTCGCGGAAGGTGAGCTCGCTGCCCGGCGGCAGCTTCGTGGCCGCCGAGAGGGCCGGGTGCGCCTGCACGTTGAGCTTGAGCAAGTCGTCGACGTCGACCCCGATCCGGGCGGCGACCTGCCGCACCGTCTCGCCCTTGCGCCGCACCTCAACCTTATCCGGCTGGTTGGGGTTGCGGACGAAGACCTGCGAGCCGGCGAGGAGCCGCGAGTTTGCGTTGAAGCCGGGGAAGCGCGACGCGTTCCACGCCACCAGCTCCGGCGGCTTGGCCCCAAGCCGCGCCTACCGCAGAAGGGTTCCGAGAAACGTCACGGAAGAGGGTGGCTCCGGCTCCCGCGGCCCCGGCGGGGTGGGGTGAGGCTCGAGGCGCGCCGCGAGCTGGTGCACGGTCTCGTCCTCGGGCAGCGTCTCGAGGGCCGGGTCGGGCACGCCGACGAGCGCGTTGGCGACGCGCGCCGCCGCCATGCCCGAGTTCTCCGAGAGGGAGTCCCACTCAAAGTAGTGCGTCCACGTCGTGAAGGTGGTCAGCGTGATGAAGCCTGCGCGGGCGGCGGCGCGGGGAGGCGTGCGCCGGCATGCGCGCGCCGAGGGGCGCGCTCCGCACCGGCAGGGGCGCGCTCCCCGCACCGGCGGGCGGGAGCGCGCGCCGCGGCCGGGGGGAGGGTGAGGCGTGTCCTGCCGAGGTGCCTCCCGAGACGGCGGTGCAGGCGGGCGCTCACCCTGCAGCCAGCCGGTCGCCCCGGACCGCACCTGGTATCCCCATAACGGGTCGTCGATGTCCATCCGGTCGGCGATGTAGACGAGCGGCAGGCCGGAGGGCGTCGGCAGCCCGTTGCGCGCCGCGCGCCGCACCAGCGACTCGCGCGCCAGCGACTCGAGCTCCTTGAGGCAGACAAACCACTGCCGCCGCGAGCAGGGCCGCAGCAGCACCGACTCGGAGAGGTCGCCCTTGCAGAGCGGCACGAGCCCAAAATCGTAGACCGTCTCGGGCGGCGGCTCCGACGTGAACCGGTACTTTTTGAACACGCAGGGCGGCTCCGACGGCGCCGTCGAGCTGCCCGCACCGCCCGCGCCGCCCGCGACCGCCCCCGCGCGGCCCTTTGCGCGCGAGCGCTTGGCCTTGGCCTTGCCGCCCCCGGACGGCTCGCCGCTGCCGAGGTTGGCGGTCGAGATGGAGATGCGCAGCGACGGCTTTGCCGCGGGCGCCGCCAGAGGGTCCGCCGACGAGGAGGCGCCGCCAGACGAGCTCGACGCGGCGCCGGCCGCCGCCCCCGGCGCTGCGGGCGGCGGAGCGAGCGGCGACTTTGCGCTGGAGCGGCCGCGGCCGCGGCCGACGGCGGCGGCGGTGCCGTTGCCGTTGCCGCCGCCGTGGCTGGCGCTGGCCCTGCCGCGCGCGCGGCCCGTGGGCCCAGGCATCTGGCCTGGCGCGGGAGGTGCGCTCAGACCCCTCGTAGCGCCCAGCGCGGCGGCGCTGGCCTCCGCGCCGCCGTTGGTGCGGTGCAGCTCCTTGAGCAGCTTGTGCAGCTTGGCCTGCCGGCTGAGCGACCTCGGCGTCGTGGGCAGCTCGGGGGAGACCGAGCCGTCGCCGCGGTCTGCTGGCGCACCCAGCGCCGCGCTGCGCATTCGCGGCATCGAGCGAGAGGATGAGAGAGGTTGAGCCGGAGAAGACGGGAGAGGCCGAGCACGACGATGCCGGCACCTGGAGAGGGCAAGGAGGTGATGACGCGCGCGCGTGCGCGGCCGTTCGCGCAGCGGTCTGTCCATGGGATTCAGAGAGGGTGTTTTGTCGCTCGATCTGCTGCGCCGCTAGCGCGCAGCTGCTTGCGGTGCCGCTCGCTCGCGCAGCCACCGCGGAGGGGTGCGACCGCTGGGCATGCTTCCTTAAGGGTGCTCGGGCGAGGGCGTGTCGCGCTCTGCTCTCTAGTTAGGCTATCGCATGCCTGTGCCTGAAAGCAGCGAGGTGGTGGGCGCACCGCGTTTTTCTTTCTTTTCCTTTGTAATGCCAGTCCGAGCCTGTCTGCTATGAGAGGGGCTTGTATAGTAAAAATTCTTATCCTTCGATGTTATGAAACAACCCAAGGCGGACATGGCATATCGCTCTCGGGATCCCGCCCCCGCGCGCGCCCCACCCGGCCGGGAGAAAGGGGAGTGACAGTTTGGGACGGCAACAGAACGAGTATGTTGAGTCCTGGCTCAACAACGCAGAGTAAATGTAAGCCGGATGGCTCACAGGCCGCCTCTCGCGCCCCGACTGACCGATCTACCGCACTGGCCACTTCCGCCCCCTTGCTCCCAACCGATCCACCTCGCCTCGGGCCAAGTGGCGCAGGGCGAGGCGGCGAGAACCGAGCGAGCACGTCCTCGTGAGCCCCGTGGCTCCAACCAGGCCCCCACCTCCGACGGGTTAGGTCGGTTCTGCGCCCCTTGGCGCCTGCCTGTGCATGTCCCGCGTGCCCGCCTGCCAAGGCTGGTGCCAAGGCCAATTCAACTGCCAAGGCTGGTGCCAGGGCCAAATCAACTGCCTGGCTGGTGCCAAGGCTCAAAGGCTCTCCTCTCCCTCTCTCCTCCCTCTCCACTCTCTCAACTTTCTCCCTCTCTCTCCCCTGAGACTCTCTCTGCTCGCTCCGCCCTCTCTCTCCCTCCCTCCCTCCCTCTCACCCCCCCCCTCTTCTCTCCTCTCCCCCTCCTCCTCTCTCCTCTCTCCTCCTCTCTCCTCTCCTCTCCTCTCCTCTTCTCACCCTCTCCCCTCTCCTCCTCTCCTCTCTCCCCCCCTCTCTCCCCCAGCAGCTTCCTCGATCGATCGAGGCCGAACAGGTAGATCCTCCCTGATCGCTAAGCTACCACAGGGGACGGCCAGGTAGTAGACGTCGTCCGCCGCCGCCTCCGCCACCCGCGTGCCTTTTTGCGGAAAGTTATACGGAAAGAGTGTTTCGACGCGCGCACTTTGTCATTTTGCGGAAACTTATACGGCTACGAGCCGAAGCGAGACCCTTTGCCATTGTCCGTCATGCTCTCCGTGCTGGCTGGCAGCAGCCTCGGGAGCTTTGGGGACGCTTGCCCAACTGCGAATGGCGTGAGAGACCCGCATCTTCACTTAGATCGCGCCAGTGCGCAGTGGGTGCAAGCCGGTGCCGGTGGGGTGGGGTGCGTGTGGGGATTTCTTTGTCATCACGAGGCTTGTCCTTGTCAAGCACCTTGTAGTAGAATTCTTTGACTTTGTCTTTCTTCGCGGCGCATCTCAGTCGTTCTTCACACGGCCATCGCAGAGGCCAGAGCAGATTGTGAATGAGCTTGCCTGCGGCGAGGGCGGTCGCGAGTGCACGGAGCTAAGTGCCTCGCCGTCCTCGCGGGACCGGGAGTCGCTTACCCAACGCGGCCAAAGGATATCCACCTCGAGAACCTCGAGAGGAGTCGCTTAGGCGGCTCCCGCGGTGTACCTGTGTTAGTGCCAGTGCGAGCCAGTCCCGTGCCCAGTGTTGTGCGAGGGAGTTTCCTTGTAAAATTCTTTGTCCCGTGCCTAAAGAAAGAAAGAAAGAAAACAGACCAGCCAAGTGTGGTGCGAATGAGGTAAAATTCTTTGTCTTGACCTCCGCACGCCGCGAGATGAAGGTGCGACACGGCATGGGCCACAAGCGGCGAGCGCGCGCGTCCGTGGACCACGCGGCGATGGCGGGCCTCGCTGCGTACATCAAGAAGACGCCCGGCGGCCGCGCATCCCTTCTCAAGGGCTGGCAAGCTGTCAGCGTTCCACGACTGAGTGTGAGCGAGAGCGGCAGCAAGGAGACTGACGAGTACTTCATTGAGCCCAAGACGAACAAGACCTTCCGTTCGAGGCTCGCGGTGCTCAAGCACTTCGGCCTCGCTCCGCCGCCGCGCGCAACTGCCGACGGCATGAGGACTTTGCCTGATGGGACCGAACCGGTCGGAAAGGACGCAAAGTCTACCACAATCCGGAACCGGGCTGGGC